TAGAGATCTGCACCCAAAACTCAAATAGCATCAGAAAATCAGGAATAAGGGCATGGCTTTGGGGTAGGCGAATAGTGTCTGCCCCAAGTCTCACTAATGGTAAGGTTCACCTTGGAAAGGCAACCCAGAAATTTGGACTGTTTTTTTTAATGAGTGGAACAAAGTAATAACTTAATTCCAACCATCCCTAAGACTGATAACTCATTTTAAAAGACAATCACTTTTCCAAATAGTTCCTCATGGTTTCCAAACCATAGAAGCACCACAGTTAGCTTAGTAGCTCTTATAAGTCCTGCTTGGCCTTTTCTAGTATAAAATGCAGTTTCACAGTTAGGGCCCTTCTGCTGCTGGACAGAATTGCACGCGTGAGGCAGTCCTCTTGCAATCAAAACTCTTATATTCTTAATGGCCGGCTCATCAGGTTCACCAGGGTGATCTTCTGCAACGGTTAAACTGGCACCATACAGAATGACAGCAATGGTTTACAACCAAAGTGCACAATTGCACGTAGAAAAGAAAGATCGGGATGTGAACACACAGGTTCCAAGGAGACATGAAAGCAGCGCCTGGCATGGGGTCCTGGCTGTCATGAGTCAGAGCCCTGTGCTCCGTGAGCGTGCCGGGACAGGTGGCTCCTTTGATTCTCAGCCTCACAGAACCTGTTACACGTTCTGTTTATGAGCCCTCGAGTCAGCAGATGAGCAACGGAAGGGCACAGCCGAACAAAGACCAACAAGTAATACAACTTGTAAACTCTGTAAAGTGAGAGTTATGATATGGTGGGTTTTATATACGTCTTTAAAATGTGGCTGCTTGACTTGCTCTGTATCAGTGTTTCCCAACAGTTTTTCAGTCTGTGACTTCGGGGGGATCTGTCCCCACACTCTTTCCTTGTCCTCTCTGACAGCCCCACCTGCCTTTAAGACCCAGGCATGAACATAAATAAGTCAATCCACACAGCTCCCCCTTGCAACACACACACACACACACACACACACACACACACACAGAGTTTGAAACTTGGAGGAAATAGGGACCATGATGAGAAATTACAAACCTACACACAGCAAATAAAAGAGTTCGTTTCACACAGGTATCTGCCTCGACCAGTTCAGTGCACAGCCCTGGTTACATGCTGAAAAGCTGTTTTATTGATGATATCTTAATGCATAGTGTCAGAATAATTTTCAACTCTTTCTCTGTACTTTTTTTTTAAATGGGGCTACCAGGAAATTTTAAATTACGTGTGTGGCTCACATTATATTATGTTTGTAGGGAACAGTGCTATCCAGGGAGCAGCCCCTTCCTTCATGCTGTTGCTGTGCACCCTGACACATTTCTGTCAGCCCTCATATGTGCTTCTTCGTCTGGCCACTGCCTCCGGTGGACTCTCGGCCCCATAAAGCCAGCTGCCTCATCTTTGTTTTTATCCTCGGTCTCTAGCATCATGCCCTGCACATCTGACAAAGGGTATTGTGGAGTTAATCATTAATGTTCACTCTTTTTTTAATCCGGCTGAAATTCACATAACACTGACCATTTTAAAGTGAACAATTCAGTGGCATTTAGTACACTGACATGTTGTACAGCCACCACCTCTATCCGGATCCCAAACATTTTCATCATGCCAAAATCAAACCCCACACCCAGTCAGCAGTCACGCCTCATTCTCTCCTCCTCCCTGTAGCACCTGGAAATCACCAATCTGTTTTCTTTCTATGGATTTGCCTATTCTGGATATTTCGTATAATGGAATCATACAATATGTGATGTTTTGTGCCTGATTTTCTTTCAGGCAGAATGTTTTTGAGGTTCACCCACATTGTATCATGTAACAGTGCTTCATTCCTTTGTTTGTTTGTTTGTTTTGATGTTCTTTCTCCTGTTCGTATTATCCCTTCCTACCTGGAATGCACTCTCCCCACGCCTCTTCTGTGCATCAGGCTAAAAATACAACAGCCATGGATGCTTTGTGATTGCAGAGGTGACCAGAGAAGGATGCACTGACCTTTGTGATTCATTTTCTCCTCTTTCCCTGAAAAGCTAGGAGAAAATATTTTAGTGGAAGGGTAATTTCAAAACTGAGTAAACCCGAAAGTGAGGGCGTTTAATTACTGATTCATGTGGAGAGCACCCAGACAGGAGAGAGAGACTGAAGCGCTAGACACAAAACAGAAGTCTCTGAATCACTTGTTAATGCTTAAATCTGAAAACCGTGACTCTCATTATAACACGTTAAAAAATCCACATTAGGACAAGGCAGTCACATGGGCTTTCTCTCTCTTTGAACTGATTCCTTTATCTTTAGTTCGTTCTTGCCTTTCTGCTCTGCCAAATCGCAAAGGCTTTGTTTCAACAAGCCTTGGAAGCTTTGAGAGTTACTTCCCATCCCTGTTCTTATCACATATTCTTCTTCATAAATAGAATTTTGTGCTAAGTCCCCTGTTGTATAACTGTGATGGGCAGACTCATGACCACCCCCGCCCCCCAAAGATGTCCACATCCTAATCCCCGGAAGCTGTGGCTATGTTCTGTGGAATTAGGGTTGCAGATGGAATTGAGGCTGCTAATGAATTGACTTTAAGACGAGGAATTGAATCGGGGTTATCCAGGGGAGCCCCATGTCACAAGGGTTCTTACAAGTGAGAGAGGGAGGAAGGAGACTTCGTGTCAGAGGGATGTGATGTGAGAAGAACTCCACAGGCCACGGCTGGCTTTGTGGATGGAAGGGGGCCACAGGCCAGGAAATACGGGGAGGCCTCTAGAAGCTGGAAAAGGCTAGGAAACAGAGTCTTCATGACAGCTTCCCTGCTGACGCTTCGATGTTGGCCCAGTGAGACCCATTTCAGGATTCTGACTTCCGGAACATAACAGATTTGTGTTGTTTTAAGCTTCTAAGTTTCTGTCATTTGTTATAGTGGCAACCGGGAACTAATACAATAGCTGTTTGCAACAGTTGGGGAGAAAAGAACCTGAATTTTTATTGTCTTTCTTAAAAACACCAGTTTGAACTGAAAAATTCATAAAACTAAAGGCATTAACTCTCCCCCACTGCCTGCCATGATTCCTGGGTGTGGTGGTCACCGGCCATGCCACGTGTCCCCTTTTGGGTGGCTGCTGCAGTCACAACAGGGGCTGCTGCTCAGGTCGGGACCATGGCCGCCAGGAAGGATGTCAGAAACCAGGACAATTACAGGCAATTTGGTGCATTCTCAAAAGCTGACTATTTCTTTTCTCAACATTGTTTCCAAATGGAATAATCACATCGATAATTAATACCAAGTAATTAAGATAGTTCCCTTCTTTCAATGAACCATTTCAAACTTAATTTATAGCACAATTTTATTAAAACAACAACAACAAAAACGCCAATCTTCAGGACATTCCTTATCCAACACAGTCCTGTATGTGGTTCTACGAAGTAAACTACTTTGTACATTGTCAGCTGTTGATTATCAAGGCACCGAGGATCCAACTGGCAGTGCTTTGAAACTAAGAGCTTTTGGTTTCCTCTTCACCTCCTCCAGCTGCCTACCTTTTTACATGTTGCCCTAGTCTTCTGCCCTTGATGGGACAGGGAGGAAGAGAAGACATAAGAGAAGGTTTGATCACTGTGTCTCTCTCCCTATTAATTAAGGCTTTGTTACAGAAAGGTGTGACGCTTGCGATTTATTTCGAGATGGAGGTAGCTAATCTAGCCAAAAATACAGCCAGAATTATCAATAACAAAGAGTAATAATTCTTTTTAAAAAATCAGTGTTTCCTAAACAGAAGCTTTTTTTAAATTCTGAAAGCTACACGTTTGTTGTAAAAAGCAAACAGAATTCTATAGATTATTCACATCACATAAAACTAATAAACACTTCCACCATTTGTTTATTCATTTGTATTTGGAAGCTGTTGTTTCAGTCGTGAGCATGTTCCCTTTGCTGTTTTTCCCTTCATATTTGCTTCAAAGTCTGGAAAAACAGCTCGAAAGAGCTGTCTGTGGCCTGAGGGTCGGGAGTTGGCCACTCCCACCCCATGGATGTCAGTCTCACAGACTATTTCTATTCCTTGTTTGCACAGCTGAAATAGAAATCAGTACCCCAAATTGTACCCTCACCCCCAACCAGGACTTCCATATCTACTGAAAATGGTCATGGAGATGTGACTTAGAGAAAGATGACATGCAGTAAATATCATCATGTTGCCACATTTTCTGTACGTTCTATAACTAGAAATGAGTTGATTGTATAAAATTCGTGTTCCAGGCAAGCTTGTTCTGACATTTAAGGCTTGCTTTCTGTAACACGAAGTAAATGTGCTGTATGTTTTCTGCAATTGGCCCTGAGCGATACCACACATAAATGCTCTGAGAGGAGTTACCAAAAATTAAGCAGGTTGTTCCAAAAGTTACATGAAGTTGCACAGATATCCTAAATGTGCTTTTGGGTACATTTCTCAACGATCGGAGGCCCGTGCAGCCGTTTCAAAGCACTTTCTGGCACAATTTATGTTATTATGCATATATGTAATCTGCAATTTCAAGCTATTGAAGAGATACCTCCCCCATTTTTGTCTCCTCTTGGGGGAAGGGTATGTACCAGCATGAGCTAGCCCTTGGAGGAGCTGGTCATCTAAAAATCACAGCAAAACAAGCACAACTGACACTTCAACATGAGCTAGGTGAGTGAATCAGTAAAGGAATGGCAGCCAGTTGATAATCAATAAGGGTGGAAATTGAAATTGTACTTGGTGGTGGATATTAAAATAGAGTCCAATAGAAAGGAAGTTCACTAGAAATTTCTTTAACTAGAAATGTGGAATCATAACATCGAAACAATGTGCATCTGAAATCCGAATAAACAGATGCTAAGAGCCAGTGAGTCAGAAGCACATGAGTTTTAAGAGGTTGAACTCAAGAGACCAGATCAGGCAATGCTGCCTAATACCATCACATGATCAGCCCCGAGGCCCATATTTAATTAAAATAAGGAGTGGGGCGCAGTAGAGGCTAGAAGAGCATCGTTGTTCTTAGTGGATGGAGCCAGAGGAGCTAAACGTTAAAGCTTGATTGCTGGGTCTGTGAGAATTCAGCATGGGATATCTCTGCTATTTCCTGGGATTTCTGCTTCTGGCTGCAAGATTGCCACTCGATGCTGCCAAACGTAAGTAACTCAGTTTCTCTGTTTAACCCATTTCCTGGCTATGGGCTGAAGTTGTGTGTTGTCTGAAGTATTATTTTCTGAGCCAGACGCTGGACTTCTTGGAGCTCCTCAGGAAGCTTTTATGCTCACTTGGTTTTTTCTTCTAGAAACTGTTGAGAACGTTGGAACCACAGAAAAATGCCTCCAGCTCTACTCCTTGCCAGGCTCTCAGAAAGTAATAACTGTGCAGCCTCTCTCTTACGGAGCTTTTTTTTTTTTTTTTCTTCATCGCGATTGCCACCTACTGTCTTGCCAGATAGTGGGAGGGTGGGGGTGTAAGGGGAACTGTCTCCAGCAGGAGAACAAAGCAATGCTACCCACTAAACTTTGGTTTCTATCCAATAAGGTAGAGAGCTCAGATAAAATGGGGCCCCAAATCTGGACACAGGCTCTCTAATAATCACAACCCAGAAGCTGTTGCTAAAATCCTGCTGATATTTCTTTCCAGACCTGCAGGCACCTGCGGCCGCTATAGTGGGGTTACCGAGAGAAGAGCGGGAGCCCCAGGCCTCTATTCTAGTTACACACTAGGGACTGGGGAATTTTTTTGACAAGGCTGATGCCCAGATCAGTGGAATCAGGATCTTTGGAGGTGGGGTCGAAGCATCCCTGTTGAAAAAACTCCTTTCGTGATTAGAATGCAAAGCCAGGATTCTGAGCCCCTGGGTCAAGCATGGCCGCTTGTCCAGTCCAGAGGATGGGTGGCGATGGTAGCCCCCATCCGCGAGGCAGAGTTAGTGTAGTGGCAGAAGGAAGTGAATTACGCATTGCCCAGAAGGTCCACTGCACCTCACTCCAAAAGAGTGGTGACGTTCACTGGTTGAAAAGTCCAGGGGTCCTGATTCTGCCGGGCAACTGGGCGGGAGGCGGGGGGACTGGGGGAGGGAGGCACTGAGAAGGGACCAGCACCCACCTCTGCCCACCATGGGGCTGCTTCCCTTCATCACTCAGGCAATCCCCCCAACACCTCTGTGGAGCAGATGGTCCTTCTCCTATTCAACAGGTGAGGAAACTAAAGCCCAGGTGTTGCTTTTCACCTGCTGGCCCAGCTCTGAGAGAAGGATCTTGGACGCATGGTGGGAGGGGCCTCTGGAAGCGTCATTTCACTCCTCCTTGCGGGAGAGAAGTGTCCTATAAGTAGGTTGTCCCTGTGGAGTGGGATGAGGTGGGAATGCTGGTCTAAAAGAGGAAGAGCTGGGAACCCCTGAACCCCTGGTAGTCCCGGAGGGCCAGGGAGGGCGGGTTTCCCAGAGCTGAAGAGGCCTAAGCGGGGGGTGGCGTGTGAAAGGGGGCGGCTAAGGGCCGCTGGACCCCCGCGGTGGAGGCAGTGGTGGGGGGGGGACATTTAGGAGGAGGTGGAGGCACGGCCAGTTCTCCTCCCAGCAGCTGAGAAGGGAGGCTTGGGAGGTGCGGGTCCTGGGAGACCCCACTGCACCATCTCCTGCGACTGGGGCCGAGAAAAGTCCTAGTGTCTCTGACAAGGGAGTCTAGTCTCAGGGACTGTGCTGGCCTGTGTTTGGCTCCCGTGACCTGGGGACAGACTGAGGAGACTGGCGCTGGGATGATCCCATTTCCCAGACCAGGAAAAAGGCCACAGAGAGGGCAAGTAACTGGCCCCAGGCCCCACAGCAGGTAACAGGAGGAAGGCGTCTTCCATGCAGACTGCTGTCCTTGCAGTTGGACAAATTGGGTTCCCTGCCAGCGGTGGGGCAGGGTCACAGGTGACTTAGCTCCACTGAGCTTTCATTTCCTTCTTTGCAAAACTAAGTAATGGGGTTCTTGTGAGATCAACTAACAAAAGGTGTTTGGAGTTGGGGGACGTACATGGTAGCAATTGTCTGCAATGAACCTCCTTGGACAGGCTCCCCTCGAGTCGGCTGACGGAGCAGATGGAAGATGGGAGACCTGACAGGCCAATGGGAGGCCCCTGAGCCTAATGGTAGCCTTCTTTCCACCTCTTTGCTCAGTAAAACAGATTAGCCTGAGGTTAAACCTTGCTGTCAGTTTGAGAGGAGTCCCAGCTCATTAGGCAATGTAAACAAAATCTAGACTTTCCTGATTTCACCTTGCCCTAGACCAGAGATTCCGGCCAGGAAAAAAAAAAAAAAAAAAAAGGATGGGTAGGATATAGCAGGGTCTCAAACAGAAGGGTTTCCTTGCCACTTTCTAATCATAGCCCTGGTAGAAAGGAGGACGGAGAAGGTATTGACAAAGCGGTTAAGCAGAGCAGCCACGTCTCTGCTGGCGGAGGGAGCAGGGAGGCCAAAGGGCAGAGGGGAACGCTAGCGCCGTGCCAGGAGTGACCCCATGCGTCCCCACCACACACACAGAACCTCTTTTAAAGTCTGCTTACTATCGCGTTTGTTTTATCTTACTTTACGTCAACTTTTGATTTTGAGGTCATTTTAGATTCCCATACCGTTTTAAGAAATACTGCAAAGAGATCCCCTGTACCCTTTACCCAGTTTTCCTCAATGGAAACATTTTACAAAACTATTGTACAATATCACAACCAAGATATTGACATTGATACAGTCAAAATACTCCTCAGTTCCATCACCACAAAGATCCCTCATGCCCTTTTATAGCCAAACCCACATCTGTTTCCCACCAAAACCCTTCCCCAGCCACTGGCATCCGCTAATCCATTCTCCGTTTTTATAATTTTGTCACTTTGAGAATATTATATAAATGGAATCATTACAGCATGTAATCTTTGGGAATTGGTGCTTTTTTTTTTGTCAGCATACTTTATCAGTGTTGTTGCATGTATCAATAGTTGGGCCTTTTTTATCACTGAGCAGTAGTCCATAGTATGGATGTACCACAGTTGAACCATTCACCCATTGAAGGACACCTGGGTTGTTCCAGTGGGGGCTGTTATGAATAAAGCTTCTAGGAACATTCATGTATAGGTTTTGGGGTGAACATAAGTTTCCGTTTCTCTGGGACAAACGCTCAAGAGTGCAATTGCTTGGCTGCATGGTAATTACATGTTTAGTTTTACAAGAACCTGCCAAGCTGTTTTCCAGATGTCTGTACCGTTTTACCTTACCACCAGCAGTGTGTGAGTGATCCAGATTCTTCACATCCTCACCTACATTTGATGTGTCACTATTTTCTATTTCAGTCATTCTGATAAGTGTGTAGTGATATGATATCTCATTGCAGTTTTTTGGGGTTTTTTAAAAAGATTTTTATTGGGGAATTGGGGGATGGGAACAGTGCTGGAGAATTGGGGGAAGGGGAACAGACAAGTTGCTGTCCTTTTGTTCTTTAGTCTAGAGGGCAGTGTCACTGGCCCTCATGTGTGGGAT